GTTTTTCTTCAGAAAAATTCGAGGTGCATAAAGTATTTGATCGTAGTTAGAATTCGATGTCCGTTATGAATGGAAGAATTATGCTGGGACTGATAGAATTCTTTAATAGTGAACATTTTCAATCCTCCGATATTATTCTCTGACGACTATGGAGTAAGACTGCAGTACGTATTTTTGTACATGTTTATTTTTGTTCTATTAAAAAATGTACCGCTCTGAAATTTGAGGATTGGTCCGATTGGTTTTCCAGTTTGACTTTCACTTTTGCAGTGTGTGAGTCTTCTTGGATAAACGGAGACCGGATTAAATTTTTGATGAGTAATATTCATAATTTCCTGATCACTGAACAATTTCAGCTCACCAGGCTGATGTGAAAAAAGGAATTAGATCTATCAAATTGAATGAGTCAAAGTAAGGTAATCGTAAAAAAAATTGAGTTCTGACAACCCTGTCTCGATGAAGAACAGGAGTCTAATCTTGCCAAATTTTTGTGTTGGTCACGTTGAATGTGAAAGTAACTCTTAAATTATAATTTGCGACCAAGAAGTTTCCCGACTCCTGGCTGCTATTGAGAAATAAATGTGTTCAATGGTGCAAATTCTTTGTGCCTTGACTTTGTAATGCCCGTAAGTAATGTTATTCATCACAAGGTCTTCTAAACGATCCTGAATTGAGAAAACTTGGGCACTCAAAGCATTTACTTTGAAGGCATTGGCGTACATCACTTTTTCATCATTCTTCGTACTCGTTTATGGAGTCTGAAGGGAAATCATTAGTTGATTGATGCACCAATGATTATTTAAAATTTTTTTTAGCTATGATTATATAGTGAGGCATCGACATATCGACCCACTCCTCGGAGGCGAAGTTTTACTTTGCAGGATATCTTTCGACGCGACGTCGAAAGAACTTTTTTCATGTCTCGTATAGGCTCTGTAAGTGCACGAAGTTAGGTACTTGACGACTGCGTGTTGCTTGTCGCAGGAATTTCACAGGCATCCGAGTGTCGAATCAGTGCTCGCAATTTTTTCCTCATTTTTCGGGGGCTTCGAAACCAGGTTAAATAATTTATGCCTTTCTGACGTCAAATTCCCACGATGGTGCCATGGACACTCTTGTGAAGGTACTGGTGATTGAGATTTTGGTTATTAGGTTACCCATTCCTGACGAATTTCATGCTTTTAGTTGATGAGCAGGGAGTGTTATTCAATTATGAGTAGTTCATGCAACCTTTTGGTTTTAGAGAGAAAAAAAGACGAATATCCTTTTCATCTTCATTCGCTACTTGTTTTTCCCCTCAAAATCAGTAGACTTTTCCGACATGCATATTCTTTTCAATTCCTAAATTAATTGCGTAGTTTTTGAGACGGGAAGAAATGAAATGATTGAGACAATTTATAAGAAAATGGAGAGTCTCTTTTGCGAAATTTTGCTACTTCAATTGCTGTATTTCCAATATAAATAAAAAAAGATATACAGTACCATGGTTTCGCTGTCTCGCCTCTGGATTAATTTTGAGTTTTGTTTTTCAAGTTAGCAATGCGAATCGTGTATGAACTATTGCTGAGAGGTGAAAAGTTCTAAAATGTACCCTCGAAAGATTGTTCTTTTCAAAAAATGCCTGAATCCTGAATTGTTCATGCCGTTTAAACTCAGAGGAACCGAAAGCTGCCATCAGAAATAATGAAAATAATTAACTTAATTTTTAATGAAATTCTGAATAGGGAAATAAACCTTCGAGAAACAAAGAAAAATTAGCAGAAAATGAAATTGCGATATAGGTCTATTACAAATCGTTTTATTTTTCTCGGTATCAATGTTTAAATTCACCCCGTGATCCTGAGATTCCTGACACGCACTATAATGGATTTTACAATGCTGTAGCATATAATTGGATAAGACGGTAATTTAAAGGTTATACTGAAAAAAATTTCCGACGTGATCCTATTCGGCATCCTTTCTGAAATTTTGCGCGGGAACTTCAAGAACAATACTACATTTCGTTAATACGAAATGGATTATTTGAAGCAAATTAATTTCTGCAGTTTTACGTTTCTTTAAAAAAAAAAGCCCACGTCCTTATTTGTGTGAATAAAAAATTCCCTTCTTTCGAAACCACAGAATCCAGTAATTTCTAATCCGTTTCGAGCATTGAAATCATTCAATCTGGTTCGGATATATTGCAGTAATCACCTATTCCTGAAAAAAATATGTGCCAAAATGTAATCGAATTTTTGCGTAGTATTATTTCAATTTCAAGTGCTTCACAAAATTTGCGAAAATCGTTGATGTTTTTCATTCGATGCATTATGAGCTGTTCAACCGTGACTGCTGAGAATTTTGCGGCTCTTAATTCTGAGGCAGAAAAAAGTTCCTTCTTCGCTTTGTTCTATCTCAAAATCAGTTGAAGAAGGGGTGGGGGGGGGGGGGATTATTCACGGGTGGCTGACGAGTCGTGACCCGAAACCAAAATGTTTTTTTTTTCTTAGGACTAACCTTCTCGTTTAAATGTTGGGAACATAATACCTACGTCGGAAACTGGAAGTTGGCTGAAGTCCGACTGTAAGGAATGTCCGTTCAGAATCCTAGGGAAACATGCTGCGAATTCAGTGATAAAATCGCGCAGTGTCTCTGTTGTGATAACCTTGGCAAAATTATTCTTCCTCAAGGCCGAATCTATTTGCATTACGATTCACAGTGTACAGTATTTGTATTCAGTTCGATTGTCATTCGTGAGCATGGGAAAATAATTGGACTGCTTTTTATGAGCCAAGATATCCTGAATTCCTGACTCTTTGAAGCTATCGCGGTGGGAAAAATCTAATGAAAGCGTATTCGATGTTAAGTACTGTATTTCGTATTATGTCAAATCATAATAAAATCATTTTTATGAAAAGGGATATCATAGAAAACTTCTTGACTTGCTATAAGGTCCAATGGGTGAGTGAAGGAATGTTTTTGATTTCTTTTTTGCGAACAGCCACGAATTAATTTTTCTTGTGTGCTGAAAGTGAACTTTCTTATTTGTCTGAATTATTTTTTCATTTGAAGCTTTTATCTGGCTGTCGAAGGGCGAACGACGACGATTGCAGTCACAGAATGCAATTTTGCTATCCCTGTTCGACGCTTTGTGTGAAAGGAGATTTTTGTGAGCTTCTGTTGATTCTTTTACTGGATAAATCAATAATTTGTATAGACTATAGACCATCATTCAATCGGCGAAAGATGTTGAAAGCCTACCGTATTATTTATTCGGGGACACAAAAGGGTGGGAAATCGTCTTCTGAAGCAGAGAAAAGTAATCGTTTGCCCGGAGATTAGATTTCCCTTTGAATGCGTTTGGCGAGAGGAAATCCAGGAACTTCGCTCGAGCGACTCATTACTGATCGAACAATCGTCAGCAGAAACAGAACACGTTGGGTTCGAGGGTTAAAAATAATCCTGAGAACTTTTTTTCCTCTACCTGTTTATTTTGTTCGTTCCTCCGGATGAAACCCGAGGTCAGAGCAAAGAAAGAAGCCCGACCTCTACACTGAGACCCGAGTCCGGAAAATCATGAGCACTTTTCTCGCGCTGCTCACCTTCTTTTTTTTTTACGTTTCATTTTCTCGGGTTGAATTCGAAAATGCTCATGTGAGCTGAGTTTTTTGCTTGCGTCATCTGAATGACTATGGGAAAAGGGGGAAGAGGAATTATTGCGCAACCGTTTGTGCTCTTCTCTATATTATAGCTGCTTATTGGAAGCATGATTATTTGTTGGAAGATCGTTCTTCCTGAGCAGCGAGCGACTCATGCATGCCGTTCACTGAACATTGGAGCCTGGTTTTGAAATTGACTTGGAGCGTTTGTGTGCGGAAACTTGCATTGAGACGAGGAAACTGACGACGAGGTCTTTTCAAGATGCTATTGACAGAAGGAACGATTTTCTTCCGCTGAGATATTTCTTCGAGTGCTTCTATATGTACAGAGTTTCATTATCGAGCGATCACCGCTTTTGTTTTTGTTGGTGAGAATTATGGAACACGCCTCCTCAGTATAGAAGCCTGGTCAGAATGCATGAAAGGGTGTTTTCTATTTGCAGAATACGATACTTTCATTAGAATTTGTTTTTTTTTATTTTATTTTAAATTCACGCGTGCAAATTTCGGACATGAATAAGCTCTGCAAAACCAGAAAGGAATGAAAATAACGCTTTAAGGAAATACTTCATTCTTTAAATCATGTAATTCACCGTTCTTCAATTCTGTATGATATTCTTGCAGTTTATTTTATTTTATTTACTCGTGTAATTTTAAGAGAGGATTCCATTCATTGTTGAAAGTAATTTATTGGGAACCCGAGTTTCGAAGTCAGAATCTCTTCAAGACGACTGTGGAATTTGATTTTAGCAAACCCTTTTATTTGCTTGAAATTTTCATCAGTTACAACACTCACTTCAGCAGCCTCTTCTTCACTGATTCCGGAACAATCTTCACNACATTCAACATCAGTAACGCAATACTCATTTCATCTAAACGTGGGAAAAGTACATAAAAAGTCCTCCTCAAACATATTTTTCTAGCAATTGATCTATTTTTTTCAATTTTAGTAATTATACTGAATATTCTTGAAACTCTCCTCCTACTCCCATTATTTTGAGAAGGAAGAAAGCAATTTTGTTCCCAGGGGTTCGGAAATTATCGAATTTTATTCCGTGGAAATTTTTGACATCTACCCAAAAAATTATGACGAGGAATGCTCCAGATATACAGTACTATTGTTTTGAACACCCCACTTTAATGAAAAAGCAAGACCTTGATATGTCCTTCGGTCTATCCTTCTCTGGCTGTCACATCTGATTGATCATTGATCAGTCAAAATGTCTAGATAAAAATGTAATTAGATCAACAAATGAATTACAGGTATTATCTTCTGGTTAGGAAAGGTCGAACGTCTCTGCTGTTTCCGTTTTCTCTTCTCGAGCATGCAGTTATAATGTCGCCTTCACATTTTTGGTTGACAGAGAACTTTGTGAAGTGGCATTTGAATAATCGAATCTTCGATAATAATGGCACGATACCATCCTGACCATGTGACAATCAGCGCGAACCACAGGATAGACATCCTGAGTGGCCCAACACCACAGTTGAAACCCTCGTTGACACCCGAGTCCCTGCCGACGCTGAGCGAGTCCCAAACAAAGGAGCTGGAAAGGCAATTCAAGCTGTGCAAAAATCCGGACCCCGCTGAGTTGTCGATTTTGGCAGTGGAAATGGGACTGCAAGAAAAAGACATCATGGTGAGTATATAAATCTTGAAACGGACTTCTGGGAAGTTCGTGCTATTATAAGATGTTTGAGATAAAAAAATATTCTTGAAAATGTCTTTCGATTATGTCTTGAAAGTTGAACCACTCCAACGAGTTCTTTTTTTGCAGTTGTTTTCAGATTCGCTGTGAAAACTTTGCTCCTGTGACAATTTTCATTCAAAAAGCAGTAGCTATCATTTCTCATCTTAATTTTCAAGTAAAAGAACGAATGTTTCAAAGTTTAATAGAGGTACCAATTTTTCTCTTTTAAAAAATCGTTTAAAAGTATTGTGAGATCCAGTGCTTGATTTAATCTTTTTTTGAGTACCTTCTTAATGAAAATTTTGAAAAATTCGAATAAGTGTGATGGACACTGGGAAAAAGCATAACGATTTATTTTGTCGCGTTAAATGTGAACATTTCATTGAAATGAGAATTTAAGCACCGTTTCTTGAGCGTTTCTGTCGTGACCTTTGAGGAAAGGTGTTTCGATGGAATTCATTGTAACGGGACTTTACCTTTGAATTTTTTGGGTTAATGGAAGCAAGAGACCAGATGACAGGTTTAATGTACAGGTACAGGACCCGAAAACCCAGTCATGAAGCGGGGCGGAAACTGTTGGTCGCAAACCCGCGCGATTCCTTTGAGATTCAATTTCGGAATCGAGTTCTGACCGGAAACGCTCGTTTCCTGGGTATCAGATACCATAGATGTTTCCACCCCACCGATGTGTTTGACATATCGTCGCGGAAATCGTTATTCTCGCCCACACAGAACTGGTTCTCCTACCGACTTGCCCTGTGGAGACGAGGCCAGGGCCTGAACCCGAATGAGCAGCAACTTTGAGAACGCCGACAATAAGGAGACGCCTACGAAGAAGCAAACCTGGCTGCAAGCATTCGGAAGAAAATCCGGATGTGGGATTTCGCGGCTAGCTTCAATTTCACGCTTCATTTCTGCTTATTTTTTTCTTGTCAACTCTGTCCTTTATTTTATTTCTCTCTGATTGAAAGAAAAAGAAACTTGGAGGAGCATCCAGAAAATTGACAGGACAGTGGAAGTCCGCATTTACTCGAATATACGATGCTATTCTGTTTCATTGTACTGTACTGAAAAAAAATAATCGCGAATGTAAGACGCTTCTTCACTCATCTCACTTGGGATTCGAATGAATCCTGAAACATATCTATGTCATAATTTTCTCCGACATCTTCCCGACAGGCTTTGAGCGCGGATATTTCCAGCTCATAATATTATTTAGTCACAGTCTCTTATTTTTCCAGAGCTTTGCCTCATTTTGATTCCATTAATTACTGAGGAGGCTATCAAAAATATTCTTTTTCATTGAGCGATTGACAATTATACACTAGAAATAATTTTTAAACATTAAATTGCATTTTCTTTTCAGTTCGAAAGTTAATTCTGTCCTTTTATTTTTGGAGATTATTTTTTACTTTTCAGTGCGCTAAATATTCGAGTGAACGCATGACGTTTCCTTTAATCAACCTGGAACCTGTCAGGAATAGTGGTTTTTTTTTTTCTTTGCTGGAGAATTAGTTGTTGTGGCCTGTTTCTTAAGGTAGTAAACAAGATACGCTTCGAATTCAGGACGGGAAAGTTGCTCCCAGAAATGATTAATGTGATGGGCTTCGTGAAACTCTAAAATAAATAATTTTCCTTCCCAGTGTATAAACGACAGTCCACTCTTCGGTACTGTATATTCATCGAACGAGATGAATACGTTTAAAAACTTTCATTTCTCAGTCAGATTTAAAAACCAACTGTTTTTGCAGCTTTCTGATAACTACACGCTTTTAGTCAAAGAGTTCATGAGACGATCCAGGTGGAAATAATTTTTCGTCATTATTCTTCGAGAAATAAATATACAGTACTGTATTCATAAATTAAATTTCTGCGCGAGAGGTGTTCGCGCAAACTTAATGGCTTTTGGGGTTTATTATTCCTCAGGAGGTGCAGTATAGCATTGATGAGAGAAATTCCAACCAATCCCGTTTTGTATTCGAAGTCAGGGTTTAAATTATTACCTTGCCTTTTTGAATTCATTTTCCACCTGGTGAAAATTGAGCAGTTTTATAACCGTGGACGTATTGCTTCGGTATCGATATTTTTAATTGCTGGTGTGCGGAATTCCGTGTGAATGACGATTTAGTCCTCGACCCAGTTCCACATACACTTATGTGGTTGCCACAGGGTCACGAGACAGAAAATCCCA